AAGGCTGTCAATCTTTACCAAAAAGCAAAAAATAAAACAACCAAACCCTAATGCCATGGAATCTTTGCGGAAGGTGACTGCTACATTATTGTCTCAGGGAGGGGCTGATCAGTTTCGAACTGGCGACCTTTTTGGTTAGCATCCGAGCCTTTAACCACTGAACCATCAAGAATATCGCTTGCTCCATTACTGGCTCCAAAACAGGAGTCATGGTGGCACACTGGTTAAAGCGCTCACTTACAAAGCTGTTGGAACCCACCAGGCGCTCCCCAGTAGAAAGACGTGGCAATCAGCTTCTGTGGCAACATTATTGGACACTTTTTTTCTGCCATATAAGGTTGCTGTAAATCGAAATCCTCTTGTCTACAATGAGTTGTTGTTTTCTTTTTATTTTTTTGGAGCGCTGGTGGCGTTGTGCCTAAGGCATTTGACTGCTAACCAGAAGGCTGGCTGTTCAAACCCACCAGCCACTCCTCTGAAGGAAGACTGGGCAATCTACTTCCGTAAACGATTTACCGCCTGGGAAACCCAAAGGGGGTCTCTGTGATTGGGATTGCACTCAATTGCAGTGAATTTGGTGTTTGGTTTGCTGCGCCTTCTGTACGGCAGATATGTCAAATATGCCCGCTTCCACGGAGACACGTCATGAGGGCGCCGACATGTCGTCTTCTGAGAGGCAATAGCGGAAATACCGTCGTTCGCGCGCTTTCAAAAGCCCTGACCCTCGTTGGCCGCCGTAGGACCATAATGTTTGTGTGGACGAATCGGGAAGTAGAACTTGCTCACGGAATTAAGTGCAACTTTTCTTAACTCTTTGTAGTGCAAGAGAAAAACAGTTGAGTGTGTGTTTTTGTCGGTGGAACAAGGCGAGGTGGGTGTGTGGGCATGGTGTCCTGAGGACCCTCGGGCTCCTGAGGAGGGCACCGTAGGGGAGGTGTCTGAGGGGAAGCAGGTGGGAGGCGGTGGTTTGGGGGCGGGCGTCGGGTGGGCGCTTTCGTTCCACGATTAAGGCTGTCCCCACTGTCGGGGTCCGGGGAGCTGCACACCCCTCAGCTTGTAACGGGTGGAGGTGGTGTTTACGTTGAATGTGGTGTCTGATTCGCATTCAGGATTTAATAAGGGGCTCCGTGAAGTGGGATTCGAGGTGGCCGCGGATGCACTTGGGGCGGAGTGCCCGGCCCAGGTTTCGCATTAATACGGGGATGGGAGTGGTCGGTGTCTGTGGTCCGGGCGCTCGTGAGTCAGTCAGCTCCCCTAAAGATTTACACCCTTGAGTTCACTGTGCACATGTTCTCTCTGTCCTTCCTATAGAGTCTCTGGGAGTCGGAGTGGACTTGACGGCAGTGGGTCTGCGTTTCTTCGGATGTATTTAAAAACCTACTTCTAGGTTTCTTGGGAAGCGTTAACACTTTTAAATAGGCAACTGTTTGCTTCTGGTTTTCCATGTAGATGATATTGTTTGAAAATACCGTAATTTTCTGCCCTGAGTTGTGATGTTTCTACCTTATCAGCTCAGCTCTTCCCTACAAAACAGGCACTTAGCTTGCTAGTTTTTCCTGCAGTATCTTTATCTTGCTACTCACTCATAAAATGCACTTGCTATATTGTCTTCTCAGGATGTAAACCAAAAAACCCACCCAATTCAAGGCCATCTAATCGATTCCGGCTCACAGCGCCCCTAGAGGACAGAGTAGAACTGCCTCATAGGGTGTCCGAGGCTGTCAATCTTTATGGAAGCAGACTGCTTCCTTCTCCTCCTGCAGGGCAGCTGATGAATTGAAACGCGAACCTTGGTTCGCAGCCGAGTGCTTTAACCACGGCGCCACCAGGCTTCTTTTTTTCAGGATGTAGGATCATAAAATTATAAATTCATGCTGGAATTCAAGTTTCATGACATGAAGAGGTTTGTAGTTTTATTTTAAGACGGAAAACTGCCTGTTTTATTTGCTTCATTTTCCCCCCATCAATTCCTTGCATTGTTTTTATGCACCGCTTCTCTTCTGATCCTTCTCAATATGAATGTGAAAAGTAATACGTGGGCATTGTCAGACCTCCTTGTCTAACTTTAAAAGGGGAGAAGAGTGACTTGAGATTGGCAGCATCACCCTAAATCTGATTTCTGTGGTGTTAGACATACCTCTTTTCTCCAACCTTTTTACCGATTCTGATGCCAGCCATCATCCCTTTGTGGTGCAGTGAATTACTTAATATGGCCCACGTGTTTTACGTAAATGACTTAGGCTGGTTGTTTTATCAGTGGTCTTTGTGACTCCCAGCAGATGACTGGGTGGAACTATGCAAAGGTAACATGCTTGTAGTCCACCAAGGAGATTGGATCGCTTGTCAGTAATGTAAATAAGATACATGGCAGCCTTGTTGGGGTGGGACCCTGCAAATAAGGTATGTTGTTTGTTGTTATGTGCCTTGGCCCCAACTCATAGTGACCCCTCCTTGGGTTTCCGAGGCAGTATCACTACAGAAGTAGGGTTGCCCAGCCTTCCTTCCGAGGAGTGGCTGGTGGGTTTGAACCAGCCTTCTGGTTAGCAGTCAAGTACCTTAGGCACTATGCTACCAGAGCTCCTAAATAAGGTATAAGGAACCCTAATGTGGGGATTGGTCAGTTTTGTCATCTTCCTAGGCTTAAAATGAAGTATGCTAGAGGCAGAAAAGGGGAATCTCACTGCTGTTGAGAGAGAAACAGGATTTGGGTGTGTCCTTGGACCCAAGATCCCTGCACTTGAGACAACTGCAGAGAGAAGGCAGAAAGATGATGGCAGTAGAACCAAGAGACCAGCAGGAGACAGAGTGGCAGGCTTGCCGGCCCACGGAGTGAGAAAGCTGAGTGCCTTTGGGCAAGAAGTTTGCTGGTAGAATGGAGTGCACCCAGGTGCACCTATCGGCAGAGCTAAAAGAGCTTTGTAACATTTGCCTATGCCAGGCGGAAGCCAGGCTGAAAGGCGGAGGGCCAAAGAAGGGCATGCCTGAAGGCATGGTTAAAGGGGGGGCTGTCTTGATTGAAGAATCCGGAGTGTTCCTGAACCTGTTACTTCCCTAATAAACCCTGTGAGTATTGTCTGTGTGTGGCCACTGTATCGAATTTGAACACAGAAGAGAAGTAACTAGTGCCATGGGAGTGATAGCTGGTGTCAGAATTAGTAAAAAAAAAAAAAAAACTTGGAGAGTTGTGGCATGTCTGACTTTCACCTGATAGGAATTGGCTTCAGGCTCTTGCTGTTGATCCTTTTCTCTCCTCCTCATGAAATGAGAGGAGGTTGGAGGATGTAGCCACCATGTCTCATCTAGCCATAGTCTTTGTAACTCCTCCCAAATGACTGGGTGGGAGTATGCAGATGAGGTTGTTATAGCCCACAGAAGGCGTTGTGTTGGTTGCTAATAATGTAAATAAGGTGCATGGCACTTTTGTCAGGATGTGACCATGCAAAGAAGACATATGGAACCCTATCAAAGTGAATAGTCAGTTTTGCCATCCCACTAGGCTTAAAATGAGCCATCCCAGAGGCAGAAAGGTGGTGGTGCTCACTACCCTCAAGAAAAAAGAGCCAGGAATAGTGTGTGTCCTTTGGACTCAGGATGCCTGTGCTGAGAACCACCTATACTGAGGAGACACAGAGTTGTAACACTGAAGACAGTGCAAAGGAGCAGCAGAGAAATAGCATCAGCTGAGGCAGCAGAACCAGGAGTCCAATAGGAGATGGTGCAGTGGGCTTCCCAGCCCATGGAGCGATACAGTTTAGCACATTTGGGCAGCAGGCTTGCTAATGGAGTCGGGTACCTCTGGGCACTTATGGATGGAGCTAAAGAGGTTTATATCTCTTTCCCAGTAGGGCAGAGGCCAAGGGGCCAAGAGCCATTCCTATGGGCATGGCTGAGGAGTAGCTGTCTTGAGTGAAGAAGTATACCCTGAGTTATTTCTCATTCTAAATTGCAACATGTTACTCCTCTAATAAGTCCCATAATTGTTAAGTGTTATCTGTGAGTTCTGCATGGCCATTGCAATGAATTATCGAACTCAGCAGAGAAGTAGTGAGTACTGTGGGAGGGATGTGTTAAAGTTGGTAAAAAGGCTGGAGGGTGACAGTATGTCTGGCCTCGTAGGAGTAAGCCTTGAGCTGCAGATAGTGATTCTGTCTTCCTCTTGTGAAGTTGAAGGAGGTCAGAAGATGTTTTCTGTATGTCCCTTTTGCAGCCATCATTTCTCTTCTGCTACTTTTCTCCATCTTGCACCATCTCCATGGTTACACATCTGCCTCTGTGTCTCCTGGGTCTAGGGGCTTTTAGCTCAGGGTCCCCAGGTCCAAAGTATGCAGTCAGATTCTGTCTCTTCTTGGTGGAGTGAGGTCCTCCTCTTTCTACCTTTTGTGTGGCTCATTTTAAGCCTAGTGGTATGGCAAAACTGACCAATCCCCTCGTTAGAGTTTTGTGCAATATATTTGCATGGGCCCACCCCTGCAGGGTTTCCATACACCTTACTTGCTTTGTTAGCAAGGTGCCCCGTTCCCTGAGGGGCCACAGGCACATTATTTTCATAATCTAGTGGCGTAGTACCTAAGGCATTTGACTGCTGACCAGAGCCAGTGGGCTGATTCAAATCCACCAGCCACTCCTCGGATGGACGATGGGCAACCACTTCCATAGAGATACCACCTTGGAAACACAAGGAGGGGTCACTATGGTCGGAATCAACTCGACGGCAGTGAGTTTGGTTTGTAATCTAATAACTGGTGGTAGATACAAGACCATGCATGGCTATAAGGGCCATATTAAGTAATTCAGCACAACAAATGTATATATTTTATCAATCTTTTCAAAGAACAGTCTTTTGGTACTTCTGGGCTCTTCCATTCATTTAATTTTTAAAAAATTTATCTTTTTTTTTATTCAACTCTATAAATAACTTCAAATATAAGATTCAGGACAAAGCCAATACCTATGAGGCAGATGTCAGATATATCCCAGATTCCCACATTCTCCAAGCTGATGTACCACTCCAGCTCTGACATCAGCCACTCTCCTTCCCCTTAGCACTCTTCCTTCCTCTGTTTGGGTTCAGCAAATTGCTGCAAAGTCTTAACAGAACTCAGAAACTGTCCTTTCAGTTAAGTGACTGTGCAGTTCAGTGCAGTGAATTACTTAATATGACTCTTCTAGCCATGGGCTTTGTGACTCCCACCAGATGATGACTGGGTGCCGTAGGAGGGACACATAGTGTCAGAATTGGTAAAGAAGTTGGAGGGTGGTAGTATGTCTGAGGTCCGCCTCAAAGGAACCAGCCTTGGTCTGTTGATACTCATCTTGATTCTCTCTCCCTCTTGTGAAGTTGGAAGAGGTCAGCCACCACCCCCGCACCCTTTTTGCTAGGTCCATTTGCTGATTCCAGTGGCATTCTGATTCAGGAAGGGGGTTCTATTCCCCATGGATGTACTATATTCTAGGACATCAAATACAGGGACATTCAGCAGCTATGGGGCCTTGTGTTAAGTGAGTGCCAGACGCAGTGACAGCATCTGAGCCTAGAGATGGTGTTCCACTCACACTGAATTTTCCTGTTGGCCCCTAGATCCTTTCTCCCCAGCTGCAAGAGTTCCAATGGAGAGAAAGAGAAAGAGGTTGCAGGATTTGGATATTGTCATTTCTGGGAACACCCTTCAAGGAGACTAAGACTTCTGAACAGAAACTTAGAGTTGATCCAGAAAACACAGAGACATCCCAGATGCTGGCCATATCTCAAGAAGAAAAGAAAATGATCAAGGAACAGGTGACTTTTGGTTGGTCTTATGCTTCCCTTTGTTCCCTGATGGATTTGTGGAGGCCTGTAAGATATCAGGAAGGTTGGGCAATCCTACTTCGTAGTGATACTGCCTCAGAAACCCAAGGAGGGGTCGCTATGAGTCGGGGCCGACTCGACGGCAAAACAACAACAACAACAATAAGATATCAGGTCAAAAACCAAATTCACTGCCCTCAAGTCGATTCTGACTCATAGCGACCCCCTTTTGGTTTACAAATTGGTGAATCTTTATGGAAGTGGATTGCCCAGTCTTCCTTCTGCAGAGTGGCTGGCGGGTTTGAATTGCCAACCTTCTGGTTAGCGGTCAGATACCTTAGGCACTGTGGTACCAGAGCTTCTTAGATATCAGGTCAGGTAATGTCAAAAGTATAAATTTGGAAAAGTAGGTTCTGGAGAGAAATAAATTTAGACTTTGACTTCCACATCAGACAAAAGAGGATCAGGACTATATTGCTCATTGAATTAACACTAGATTATTGACAGTGAATATGGTATATGATTGGAGGATCCTGTGGGTTACCTTAGCTTCAAGTTGCATTTACTATTGCTGTGGCCAACACAAGAGAATCATTATGCTATATTATTATTTTTTAATTTTTTATTGTGATTTGGGTGAAACTTTACAGAGCACACTCATTTTCCACACAACAGTTCATATGCATTTTGTCTCATGACATGGACTGCAGTTCCCCACAGTGTAAGAGCTCTCTTCCCACTTTCTCCCTGTGTCTTCTTCCCAGTGTCCTTCCCTCCCATACACTCCTGCCTGAAGCATTGTACTTTAGATGTTATACCTTGTTTTCTGAGGAGAATGAAGATCAGTTTCTTCTGGGATGTCAGTACTTCCTGGGACTTTGTCTGCATATGTGTCCTTGATGTTTCTTCCTGGAGGTGATGAGGTGCATGGTGTTCTGAACAGCATTGTTCTCATAGATACAAATGCTAGGTTTCCTGTGGCTGTTTTTTCCTGGGTCACTCACTGCCCTCTGTAGCAATATAGCAGGCAAGCTCAGTGGACACAGCGGATGAACACGTGGGAGCCCACGAACTTCACCTTGTGGTAGTCTAAGTTTACTTGAAGTTAAACCTAAACATACTTGTAAACTGGAAGCAGTGTGTGGCTGTCAAGTGACTCTCAATGAACTGGTGTTGTTTGAGTTTAGATTCAGAAGTAGAGGGTGGCTCTGTGGCCTTCATACACCATTTACAACTGTTGTACACCTTGCGTTTTCCCATCTGTAAAGTAGTGGTGATGATAATCATGCCTTTCTCAGTCACTTACCATGAAAAGGTGTTTAGTATGTGATTTGAAAGAGTGTCTGCTGTCCCCAGTCTTTCCAATACTTGTTATTACAATGTTACCATGCATCATAACTTCTAAAAATCTACAAGGTCAAACCTCTTCCTGTTTTGCTTTCTTTTGTATTTTTGTAAGTGCTGGTGAGGTTGAGATCTTTCTTGTGTTGGTCAGTTAAACTATTTGTTTTCTGAAATATGTGTCCATATCCTTCGCTCATTATACTTTTTGATTTGTCTTAGTGATCCAAGGAAGTGTTTCTATTGATCTTCCTTTTATATATGGCAAATATTTTTTTTAACAACTTTCTTTCACCATGCAGAAGTTTGAATTGTTATTTAAAACTTTATCACAAAATTTGGGATTTTTCTTTTCTGACTCTTGATTTATGTCATAAATATAGTCTCTATTTTCTTCTGTTATGTTTATAACTTTCCTTTTATTTATTTTTTCTACGAATTATCTCTTGCTTCCTAGGAAAGTGTTCCAAATTTTAGAGGCTTGAAACAGCTCATGTTTATTATCTCATAGCTTCTGTGGTTGGAACTTCAAGCACAGCTTCTCTTGGTGCTTTGCTTCTTGGTCTCTCACAAGATTGCAGTAAGGTTTTGGCCAGGGCCGGGGTCTGATCTGAGGCTCAAATGGAGAAGGATCTCCTTTCAAGCTCACTTACTTGTTAGGAACAAGATTCAGTTCTGGGTGAGCCTGAGTTCTTCACTGCGTGTTGGCCAGAGGCATCTTACTTCATTAAAACCAGCAAATGAGAGGAACTATGTAATCTAATCATGGAATAGCACTCCATCACCTTTGCCATGTTCTGTTAGATGGGAGGAAGTCAGAGGGACAGCCCATGTGCAAGGAGAGGGTACTATACAGGGCTGTGAGTATGATCACGAGCTCTCTTAGAGCCTGCCTGACACATTCAGTGAGGAATTCTCTGTGCGTGTGGATTGAGGCCTTCAGATCCTACTTCTCCCTGACTCTGTCTTCTCTTTCGGAAGGTATGGATAGGTCCAGGTTGGCTTTCTAGTGCTGCTCATGCTTACTACCCTCTCCCTTGTGTTCACTCTCACTCTGCCACATTTTCAGTACTTTCTTAAATTGTGAAATACACCTGTGTAGTGTATCTGATGTGCTGGTAACATATATGTCTGTTAACATATATATGTATATGTGTTTTTGTATATGTCTGTGTGTTTGTGTGCATACATACTGTTTATTTTTCCCAAATCCATCCAATGATCTTGTCTCTTTGAAATATTTTCAATAGCTTCTTTCACTCTTTCCTAAAGATTAAACACTCTTATTAAACATGTCACTTCTTCTCATTTGGATACTCGGGAGTTTTTTCTCTGTAGATTCTGATACTGCCATTGAGGTCTCATGTGGAATGTGGGAACATGTTTTATTCTCCTGATTGTCAGTAATGTTTATTTATCTCCTAGCATATAAGTGACCAAACACACACATGCACACACACACACACATTGACACTTACAGAAGTATACAATACTCTCTGTCTCCCAAAATCTACATACACATACAAATGCATATATGCATGCTTACATGTGCCTCTGCGTGTGTGTGTGTGTGTGTGTGTGTGTGTGTGTGACATGTTTCTAGCTTAGTAAGAGGATCTCCCTGCTACTTATTCCTGAAACTTTTAGTTTGATGAATGGATGGATGAGTGAATGCACACATACAGAATATTTACTTAGAATTTTAAGTCTCTTACAAGGTGTTAGAACACATGCTAGACATGTAGTCGCAGCATGTAGAGAAAATGAGCAGAACACCTTTTTTCGTATTTCACACATTATTACAATGAAATCACTTCATCAGGTGATTATTACCATAATTCCTATGATCGCAGGCATCCCTGACATTCAGCGACGTGGCTGTGAAGTTCTCCTGGGAGGAGTGGCAGCTCCTGGACCCTGCTCAGAAGGACCTATACCGGGTCGTGATGATGGAGAACTACCGTAACGTGGTGTCACTGGGTGAGGACAGCTCCCCTGTGTCTCTCAGAGGGTGCCCAGTCAGTGACCTTTCCTTTCTCAGCTATTATTTTATTTTCTCCTGTAGCAGTCTTTCTTTATTTTAAGTTCCTGAGAACATAGTTATTATTGAAAGCCCGGGAGCATCCCTGTTGCTCTGAAGTGGTGTATTCTCAGTCTGCTCTGTGCCCTTAGGTAAATGGGTACAGGCCCACCTCGTTTCATTGCACCTCATTTTATTGCACTTCTCACATATCATGCTTTTTATAAATTGAAGATTTGTCACAGTCCTGCATTGAGCAAGTCTGTCAGTTCCGTTTTTCCAGCAGCATGTGTTGCTCCATGTCTCTGTGTCTCATTTTGGTGATTCTCACAATATTTGAAACTTTTTCATCATGCTTTCGCACACTTAATACACTACAGCATAATGGAAACATCTTGTGTACGCACAGGGAAACCAAAACATTTGTGTGACTTGCTTTATTGCGATGTTTGCTTTATTGCAGTGGTCGGAAACTGAGCCTACAATGTCTCCAAAGTAGGCCTGTTTATACTCCCTACTCCTGAGAGAAAAGCTTTTGCATTTTATGATTTTTTCCCCACAAGTACAACATTCTGTAGTCTTCACAAACCCAAGGCCATATGGTGTGTCTAAGATGCTGTGATTTCCCATGAACAGGGTATCAAGTTAACGAACCAGATGCACTCTCTCGGTTGGAACGAGGAGATCAACCATGGCCTATATCAGATGAAAACCATAGTGGAATCTTTTCAGGTGAGTGAACAGAAAGCAGTAAGGGGAGAGGCTGTTGGAAAATGATGGAGGTAGCTGTAACATTGCCAGAATCTACCTCACTTTAGTGGAGGTGAAGAGAATCACTGTCAGCCCAAAGCTGACTCCCATGAGACGGAGCTCTAAAACAGTCATTGCTTTTATAAGACTCTTATGAGGCAGAGGTTAAGGATTCCTGTGATGCAGTGAATTACTTGGTATGGCTTTTCTTGCCATAATCTTCATAACTTCCACTGGATTATTGGGTGGGACCATGCAAATAAGGTGTATAGAACTCTGATGTTGGGATTGGTTGGTTTTATCACTGTGCCAGGCTTAAAATGAGCCCTCCAAGAGGCAGAAAGGGGGATCTCACTGCCACCAAGAGTGGAGAGCTAGAGGACCAGCAAGACCATGACCTAACCAGTCCCTTACAAGGGTTCCATGTCCCTTATTTGCATTAGCAGATTATTTGATCCCTGCATCCACCTTATTTGTGTAGTCCCACCCAGTCATTTAATGAGAGTCATCAGACCATGAGTGGCTAGAAGGGCCATAGTAAATTATTCACTGCATCTCAAGGGGAAACGTACCTCCACCCTGAAGCCTTTTTTTTTTTTTTTTTAACCAATTCTGACACTAGACATACTCCCCATAGCACTCTCTATTCCTCTGATACGTTTGATATCTGTTGCGATGACCACACAAAATTCACAGGTTGTACTTACAGTGAAGTAGTTTATTAAGGAAGTGACAAAGTATAACTCAGGATCAGTTTCAGCGAGCTACAACTCAGGGTCAGAATCAGGAAGCATGGAGGCCCAGTCTCCCCTCTTCGGTGCAGGATAGCTCTCCCAGCTCCTCTCAACCCTGCAGGCATCCTCTCGGCCCCCAGGACAGGCTTCTTCTCAGCCACTGAGCATAGGTTTCTTTTGGCTGAAGTGTCTCACTTACTCTAACTATGCACCTTATTTGCATTGTCTCAGCCAGTCATTTGGTGGGAGTTAAAAAGACTGGCTAGAAGGACCATATTAAGTAATTCAGTGCATCAGGCCACTGAGGGCTAGCTCCTGTAGACCCCTTCAGGACAGGCTCCTCTTGGCCCTGCCATTTGTTACCACAGATTCTGATGCAGGGCCTGTCCCTGGCCTGTCTCCTATGGCTTTGCCACTGTGTCCCTTCAAGCTCATTGTCTTCAGTGTTACACCCCTCAACCCACGTTACAAGTCTTTTAGGCAGCACTTTGCTTCCTCTGTCTTGTCTTTTCTCCTTTCTGTTGCTTTTCTTCCTGCTTCATTCCTTCTGAGAAAAACGTGTGTATACCTAGGCTGCATATATACATAACTCCTGGTCAATTTCAAGGCACAGCTCCTGCCAGCAGGACCAGAAACTGACCAGTCCCCTTTCAGTAGGCCACAGACACTTCATTTGCATAGTAGGCTATGTTAACTTCATTTGAATAGTCTGTAGTCACATCATCTGTATGTTGTGTTTACCAGTCTCTGCACAGGGGTACATAACAATCACAGAGCAGCTGCAGCCCAGGACCAGACAAAAAGTATTAAACCACACATGGTTTACACCTCACTCAGGAAATGTCAGTCACTCCAAACAAAAGGATAGAAAATTAAGGTAAAAGGAACTTCTCAGGGCTTACAGGGAAATACCTCTCGAGCTGTTTTTCTAAAGGACCAAAGCAAAAGGCCACATAAAGGGACTCATTTCACCACAGCTTTAGAAGTCATATTCTAGTCAGCGAAGATGTCACAGCTGTAAAAAGTACCAGTGTCTCCGTGTCTCCCTTTCCCCATGTGAGACCTTATGTTTTTTTTTTGTAGGAGTTTAGAGAGCTATATGCCCTTCCATCTCTTCTGAGATCAGAACTCTGTTTATTTGACATGTTGATATTTTTATTTGTGTAGTTTTCTTCTTCATACGTCTCTTAAATCTCTAACTACTTCATATCTTTCCACTAGTCTTTCTACGAAGTTCTAACTTCCAGACCTTTCTCCAAAGAGAGAATTTTGAGTTCATAATTGTCCTCGGAGTATGGCCCTATAAGAATGGCATGGTAAAGAGTAGGCCTTATAACAATGGCATGGCAGAGATGTCTCACCTGCTCTGACTTCCAAAGTGGGGAGGAGAGTTAACATGGATAACCCAAGGCTGATTCCTGAGACATACCTGCTATTTCCAGCCTTTTTACCAATTCTGATGCCAGCTGTCAGCCTTCCCTCCCACGGCACTCTCTACTTCTCTGTTGGGTTGGATACCTCATTGCATTGACCACACATAACTCAGGAAATATAATTACGAGGTTTGTTACAGAAGTAACAAGTTACAATTCAGGATCTGAAGAGAATGGGGATACAGTTCTTTGGTCAAGACAGCGTCTTCTCAGCTGTGCCTCCAGGCAGGCCTCTCTCCAACCTCTTGGGCCTTAGGTTCCTTGGCCCTGCATCTGCCCTGCTCAGGCAAGTGTTACAAAGCTTTTTTAGCTTCACCAATAAATGCCTAGAGGAACTCCAGTCCACCAGTAACTCTCAGTTTGGAGATACTCAGCTGTCTCGTTCTGTGGGTTCACAAGCCTATCTCTGCCTACAAGTGCCTGGAGACACCCCACTCTGCCTGGAAGCCTCTGGCCCAAAGACTCTCAGCCCTCTCTTACTCTCTGAGTCATTGAGCTTGGCTTCACGAAGTGGCCACACACCCTGCTCTGTCAGCAAGCCTCTTGCCCAAGGGTGCTCAAGTTTCTCGCTCCATGAATGGGGAGGCCCCCTGTGACATCTGCCAGCCTCCTGGTTCTGCTGCCACTGTTTCTCTGCTTCTGCTTCTCTCCATCTCTCGTGTTACAGCTTTCTGTCTGTCTCCTGATCTAGAAAGTTCTCAGTGAACAGATTCCAGGTCCAAAAGACATGCTCCACTCCTGGCCGTACTTTCTTGGTGGTGGTCAGGTCCCCTCATCTGATCGCTTCACTCTCCTTCTGTTGCTTGTAAGATAAAAGACGTGACTCAAGCAAGGGTGCTGACTTGAGTAAGGTGGTGCCTTGAGCGTCTCTCTCTCTAATCCTGCCTCATTAACATAATAAAATAACCAAATTCTCATTTACATTACATAATCCTGCCACATTAACACAGAGAGGTTAGGATTTACAACACATTCCGTGGAGGGTAATTACATCAGATCGCAAGATGGAGGACAGCCACACAGTATTGGGAATCCTGGCCTACCCAAGCCATGTGTTGACACATAAGCTACAGCTTCCATAGACCTTATTTGCATGGTCCCATTCAGTCATGTGGGAGTCAAAGACTATGGCTGGAAAGGCCATGTTAAGTAATTCACTGCACCACAATTATAGTCCTCCCCCACTGGGAAATACGGATTTCACCTCCTAATATCCAGCCCCACCTCGATGTTGTGACTGCACAGTAAACTGGTCTCATTGTGCCTTTATCTGCTTCCTTTACTCCTTGTTTTCCCAGTTCTGAGGTTTTCCAAAGGTGCTGAATTTCATTTTCTCAGTAGTTTTCCTAACTTTCTAAAATTTCTTTCATTCTTATGCATTAACCTCCTTCACTCTGGAGGAGACTATTGAATTCTAATCTCACTTGCAATCCTCTAACATAAACTTTTTCTTTTTTTAATATATTTTACTCATCTAAAAAAAAAAAACCCAAAACTTTCTATATCCTGCATTCTCAGTTCCAGCATAAACAAGGTTGTAACTAATGGCTACTTCAATTTAATTTCTATGTATATTTACTAATTACAACCTTTCTGCTGGTTCATTATAAACATTAGCACAGTATGCATGGTCATTCCCTTAAGAGACTTTTCCCATTCCAAAGTCTAAATGTTAGAATGATAAAAACCTTGGTGTTCATCTTCTTTTAACATATATGTTCTTTTGTTCTGTGAACATGATCTTCTGTTATCTGTCCATGAAACATATGTATATACTAAAGTCTTCAGAACTGTTACTTCCAGTCAAGACATTCATGAATCCTTCTGAGATATTCGTTTCTGTAGTTGGATATATAACAACCATCCAGAAGTTGATAACACTTTAGAACGTTTGCTGAACACTTTATACTTCAGTGACATGTCTTATCTTATTAAAATATGGTCCTACCCTGTTGCTCAACCCAAATACTTAGAAGCAACTCTTAGTACATCATTTTCTTCATGTCACCTTAACCCACCACCTGTAGCAGACATGAATCCATCAGTGAGCCTTTCTTCCTCCAAAGTGTACCCTCCTTTCCTCTACCTCTTCCCACTCTCTCTTTCAAACCACGTTTCACAATATAGAGCTACTTCCATCATCTCTCCTTGCTTTTTCGAATGATTATTACCAAAATACATTGTAGGCTCTGAAAGCATGAGGATAATGTTTGTGTGCTACCAGTACCTTTACTCTGTACATGTGTAATTTGTTTTGTCCCAAATGTAACATTCTGTATTCTTCACAAACCCAACTGTACCAACTCCCTACTTGTCACTCAGAAAGGGATTGTGAATTTGCCTGTCTGCCATTTTGCATCAGGTAGTCTTCCAGCCTCTGTGGTCTACTGTGCGCTCTGATTTCCTTGTATTTTACAATCATTGTAAATTTCTCAAGGCCTCCTTTAGGAAGCAGCCAAATCTGTATTTATTTGTTACGTGTAATTGAACCTTGTTTCTATACTAA